CATCTCACACAGCTCACACCATTCAACACATGCCTCACACGCATTCACGACATTCATCACACCCATACATCACACAATCTTACACAGATTCCACACGATTACACAGCATTCACACTCACCACACATCATCTCAGTTCCCTTATCTTACACAGCCTCACAACACTCAACAGTACTCACTACAGCCTCACACTCACTCACACAGCCTCACACTCACCTTCAACTAGACACTCTCACACAGCTCACACTACATCAACAGCCTCACACTCACTAACCCTCACTCGACCACAGCTTCACACTCACTCACACAGCCTCACACTTACTCACACAGCCTACACACTCGCCTTCACACAGCCTTCACACTCACTCACACAGCCTCACACTCACTCACACAGCTCACCACTACACTCACACAAGGCTTCACATCACTCACACAGCCTCACCTCTTACTCACACAGCCTCACAACCACTCCAAAGCCTACAGCCTGTCACACAGCACATCACACGCCCTTCACACAGTCATCCAACCTCACACTCACTCACGACATGCATCTCAAGTCTTTCACACATACTCACGCTCACTCACACAGCCTCAACTTAGCTCTACACAGCTTCACACTCAGCTCACATAGCCTCACACTCACTCACAGCAGACTTCACATCACTCACACAGCTCACACTTCACTTCACTAGCTCCACACTACACGTCACACAGCCTCACACTTCATCACACAGCCTCAACACCTCACGTCACACAGCCTCACACTCACTCACACAGCCTCACACGTCACTCACACGCGCGCTCAAACTCACTCACATGATAGCCTCACACTCACTCAACACAGTCAACTACCTACACAGCTCACTCACACCATGCTCCACTACTACATCCTCACATCATGCCGCTCCAGCCTCCACACTCACTCACATAGCCTCACCACTCACTCACACAGACGCTCACACTCCACTGCCACTCTTCACACAGACCATCTCCACATGCTACACCATCACATAGCCTCACACTCAACGTCACATAGGCCTCACACTCACTCACACAGACCCTCCACTACTCACATAGCCTCCACTCACTCACACAGCTCACACTCACTCAGCATAGCCTCACACTTCACTACATAGCCCTCTGCACTCTATCGCAGTGCCTTGCAACCTACTGGGCGACACTGCGCTCAGATGGGGCGCGTGCGAGTCAGTTCTCGCATGTTGTTGTGTGCTGCGTTCACGGTACACAATCGACACGTTCCATATCTCAAGACGCGTCACATGGCTAGCACGCAGTAGGGTGTAGCAGCGTAGAGTGGTTTAGCGATGGCGAGCATATGTAACGTACACGTATGTGATCCCAGTATTCTGACTCGACGTTATCTCGGGTCTTCCTTTCACCGCACCATCATCTGCGGTGAACCTTCGTGCGCGCGATGGCGCGATTTACGCATTTTGTTTTTGTTGTTGTTAGTAATCGATTTTTTTGTTGTAAGGCCTATCGATCTTTTAAAATTTACATTGATATCATCGTACTCCATAACTTTCTACTTCGTTTGACCGCACGCGCTAAATGTGAGAAACCGGGTATCTCGATTAGACTAACACCGCAGAAATGCGTGAATAATGAATAATCTCACCTGACAGGATGGCCTGGGGGAAATGACGCTGGCGGTTCCTGATTACTATCATTCATAATTAATTTAGGGATGTGACACGCAATCAGCTTTTTGCCCTTCTGCGGCTTTGAGAGCAATTGATTGGACATGTATGGTTCAGCAACCTGGGGCACGGTCGCGAACACAGCGAATAAATACAATGAGCCGAGACGTTACCTGCATTGCGCGTGCAACGCGTATGCGTGTGTGTATTGTTTTGTGTGTGGTGTGTGTGTGTGTGTTGTGTGTGTGGTGTGTGTGTGTGTGTATGTGTGTGTGTGTGTAGTTTGTTGTCCGGTAGTGTCGTGTGTGTGCCCATGTGTGTGTGTGTTATGTGTGTGTGTGTGTGAGTGTGTGTGGGCTGTGATGTGTGCATCTGGTATGTGGTGTGTGTGTGTGTGTGTTGTGTGTGTAGGCCTGTGTGTGTGTGTTGTCGTTGGCGGCCATCGTGTGAGTTGTGTGTGTAGTGGTGTGTGTGTGTGATATTGTGTGTGTGTGGTGTGTGTGTGTGTGTGTGTGTGTTGTGTGTGTGTGTGATGTTGTGTGTGTGTGTGTGTGTGGTGTGTGGTGTGCGCGGCGCGTCCGTGTGTGTGTGTGTGTGTGTGGTGTGTTTGTGTGTGTGTATCTGTTGTTTGTATGTTGTGAGTGCATGAGTCCTCTCTCTTGTACGCTCGCCCTCTTCTTTCCTCGATGCTTCCCTCTCTTTCTCCCCTCTCTCTCTCTTATCTAGTTCACTACTCTCTTTCCAATCTCTTACTTCTCTCTATCTCTCTCACCTCGTAACATTTCTACGAGCTTCCTTTTTCTTGCTCCTCGAATCATATGCCGCAGAGAATCGATCACTATTGCGCCATCACATAGCTTCCTCTCCGTGCAGTAATTATCTACAGATATATGCCACAGGTATATGCTACAGGTATGCTACAGGTATGTTACAGGTATGTTCACTTTAGCTTCTCCGCCTCGGCGGACAATGTCTGCCCTCTAGCTCCTCAAAACCCATTGTCACGTCGGTCGATATGCCGATTACGATTTATAATTGAACTGCGCTTCGGGGGGATGCTGCTGCTGCTGCTGCTGTTGCTGTTAAGGGTGTTGCTGTTGTTGTTGTTGATGATGATGATGATGATGATGATGATAATGATAATGATAATGATGGTGTTGCTGTTGTTGTTGTTGTTGTTGTTGTTGTTGTTGTTGGTTGGTGATCATAATGATGATGATGATGCTACTGATGCTGCTGACGGCGACGATGATAATGATGATGATGATGATAATGATGGTAATGCGGCTGATCCGACTGATACTGCTTCTGTTGCTAATAATGATGATGATGATGATGATGATGATGATGATGATCCTGCTAATAATACTGCTTGCTGCTGCTGATGATGACTACGCGAACTAATGAGACGACGTACGATGAATGCTAGCCGCTGGCGGCTCTCCGGCGATACGTCACCGCGCAGACGACAGGCAAATGAGTGTAACTCGACTCAGACCCTCGAAGCAGCCTCGGGCAAGCAGGGGTTCGTTACTATACATCACCCAGCGCTATATATAGCATCCGGCCATTACGTACATCTAATCCGGACCATTCGTTAAGGGTTGAAACATAACCCGCTGCGATGGAGGGAAGAAGCCGCAAGATACAGTCACGAGCCTTATTGCACGCCTGCATGACGTAGTTAGTCCGTGCGTAGATGATGACGTAGTTACGCCGTGCGTAGATAATGACCAGGGGCGGATCCAGGGCATCCCCCACATCCCCCAAAAAGGGCAGTGGGCGCCGTTAGGCGCGGAAGCACATGGCGGGGTGTCTGGAGGGCCTCCCCCAGGAAATTTCAAAATATCAAGGGTCCCTGGGCACAAAAATGAGCACAATTTGAGCACACATTTAGTCAAGCAGCAATAGCTAAAAACCATATGGAATTTTATTTCTGCTTATTTTGCCTGCGCTTTGCATACCAGCAATTAATGCAGAATGATTCAAGCACTTCCTTTCTTTTTCAGATATCAAAGCTAGTTTTGTTACCATGTAAAATTTTGATTTCCTTCAAGTCCTGTCAATTAATCAGAAGAAAAAGAAAACAAATAATGAATATAGCCAAATTCCATCAAATTGTTTTCTGTATTTTTTAGCGGAAAATTTCGAAGGGCACTTTGAAATCTAGACCGTATTTCCCAATACGGCAAATACGGTTTGAATCCGTCCCTGATGACGTAGTTACTCAGTGCGTAGATGATGACATAGTTGCTTCGTGCGTAGATGATGACGTAGTTACTTCGTGCGTAGATGATTACGTAGTTACTCCGTGCGTAGATGATGACGTAGTTATTTCGGGCGTAGATGATGACGTAGTTATTTTGTGCGTAGATGAGTTACTTCGTGCGTAGATGCTGACGTAGCTACTCCGTGCGTAGATGATGACGTAGTTACGCCGTGCGTAGTTGATGACGTAGCTACTCCGTGCGTAGATGATGACGTAGTTACTCCGTGCGTAGATGATGACGTAGTTACGCCGTGCGTAGTTGATGACGTAGCTACTCCGTGCGTAGATGATGACGTAGTTACGCCGTGCGTAGATGATGACGTAGTTACGCCGTGCGTAGATGATGACGTGGTTACTCTACAACTACTCTGCAATACTATACAACGTACATATGTCAGCGGAATAAATATGAACGAATATTGTTTAAATGAATGGAATACTGATCACATCCTACCTACTTATTTACCTGAAAGCCTGATATAAAGGAACAGGATCTTGAATTCATATTTGCTGCAAGTACATGTAGTTTTCAGCAGACCATGCGGGCAATAACCAGTGGTCCGTGTGTGCGCGCTCGTGTGTGCGCGCGCGTGTGTGCGTGTGTGCGTGTGCGCGCGCGCCGGCAAAGCGCTGCCAAAATTATCTACGCGTGCTGTCCGTTACAAAACGCGCGCACAGAACCTGTCAATCATCGGTGGGCGTGGTCCCGGAAGTGCCTGAGACCCGTGAGTGCATGAGAGCACCTAAATACCCGATCTCGTCTCTTTAACTCAACACCGGCCATCGAACGACGCAAACTTCTCTAATAAACCCTGCGTGAATTTTTTCCTTTGTTTCAGACCGACGCACGGCTCTGGGTAGTATTTGAGGGACACTCTCTCACCGCTGCCGTGTATCTACGTATCCGTCCGTCCGTCTGTCTGTCTGTGTGACAGATGACAACAGCACTACGACCCACCACCGCGCTGTCCTGTCACCGGCGCCATCTATCGGACGATGATTCACCTATGATGTCCTCGGTGGCGTAGCCCCGGCCGACACACCGAACCGCGAACGCGCATGCGCGGAAGACATGTTGACTGCGAACGAGTCGACGGAAGAGGGTCCGTCCATCTATCATCTTGCAGCTAGCGTTAGTCGGCTGGGCATCATCAGGTATGCGTATATAGAAACAAACACTGGTAGACTGACTAATAATGTCAGCCTATGCTTGTATACATAGCCTATATTAGTGCTAAACCATTGCTAGTACATACTATATAGCTTATATTAGTATATAGCCCATGCTAGTATATAGCATGTGTCATTATTAGCCTGACTCCTCTTTCCCAGCTCCCCTCTATCTTTGCATCTCATTCCTCTACCATCCATTCTATTCCTGCCCCCTTTCTTCCACATCACTACCCCAACACCTCCGCTCCTCTGCTTGCTCTATCCCGCTTCCATCTTTCATCCTATGCCTATTCCTCCTTCTTTCATCGCCTAGTCTCCTCTCTTTACACCTGCCTCATCCACAACCTCCCCTCCTCAACATGCCCCCTCTCTCTTTCTTTTGCTCCCCACCTTTCCTTCTTCCTATCGCTTCCACCTCATTCCCTCATCTCCCCCCCACCTTTCCTGCCCCCATCGCATCCCCTCATCTCCCCTCCCCCTGCCTCCTTTCTATCCCTGCCATCACACACCCCATCCCCACCCTCCTCCTCCTGCTGCACATTAACACCTGTAAACTAACAACCCGTGTCGGTTCCGTAACGACCCAGAGGCCCTCCCTCCATACAGCACTTTCAAATTCAATAACACACACCTAGGGCTCCCCTCCCCCCGACCTCCGTACGTTACCACGACACACACAGTACAGGCGGACACCTCCGCTGCGACTATCGACCTCCGTGTGCACGCCCAAGAAGAAGAAGGAGAAGAAGAAGAAACGTTGCTTAGTTTTTCGCAGCCGAACGATTACTGATCGCACAGCTGCTGCTGTTTCGGTTCTAGCGCGGCTAGCGGACGGGCGGGGGAGGGAGAGAGGGGG